CAACCACTCAGGAAGCTGAGGCAGGAGGATTGCTTGAGCCCAGGAGTTTGAGGTTACTGTGAGCTAGGCTGATGCCATGGCACTCACTCTAGTCTGGGCAACAAAGTGAGAACCTGTCTCAAAAAAAAGAAAAGAAAAGAAAAGAAAAGAAAAAAGGTGGAAACAAGAGAAAACACCTTACGAAGTACATACATTTGGAACTTACCCTAAATCATCATAGTGTGTACACACACACACATATATGCACATGCTCATGTCCATATGCACACACACTCACTAAACATTTCTAAATCATAAGTACCAGATTAAGTAAAAATTGTGATGTGATATTATACAATAGTTTTTGCATGTAATAGGAGATTAAATATTGTAATAACAACACTGTTCTGATTCCTACAAATAAGTTTAAGAAATACAACATAGAACTGGCATTTTCAATCTGGTCTATAATCACACATTAAAAGGTATCAAATTCAGGACTCTATCAATGAAGATTTAGTTACAGCAACATTTTATTAAAGCCATTATTACCAAAGGTAAAAGCAACACATGTGGGGCAGAGAGGAATTATTCTCCTTGTCAAGTTTTAAGGAGGGCTACCATGTTTCCCTGAAACACCCTATTTCTTTATTAGATGAAATGAGGATAATGAGAGCCACCTCTTAGCTTTGTTGGAAGATTAAATGAAACTATGTATATTTCGAAGGCCAACACACAGAGGCTGGCATTGATTAGTGCTGATAAATAGTATTTTCCCTCCTGCCCTGGGGATCACTCAAGGACTTAGGGATTTGAAACCATAGCCTTGTGCTTAAGCAAAAAGGGCTTTGGTTGAACACCATAGTTTTAGGCTAAGAAAGAATAAAATAAAATTTTAAAGTAAAATAAAAAAATAAAATTACAAAAGAAAAAAAAAAAAGGGCTTTGGGGTATAGGTCTAAAAGATACAGAAATTGGAGCCTAGCCTCTACTGGCATGGCGTCTACCACCACCTCCCCATGCACCTGCAGAGCAGCTCTGAGAACATCTTTGGTTTAGCAATCTCCTAAGGACATCACCTCTGTAATTCCAGAGGACCAATTAACAGCTTTTGTCCTGAATTCTGTATGGACCTATCATTCCTATAATTTGGGGTTTTTGTGTTTTGTTTTGTTCTGTTTTTTGGTTTGGTTTTTTGAGACAGGGTATTTTCTCTGTTGCCCAGGCTAGAGTGCAGTGGTATCATCATAGCTCACTGTAACCTCAAACTCCTGGTCTCAAGCAATCCTTCTGCCTCAGATTCCTGAGTAGCTGAGAGTATAGGCATGGGCCACCAGGGCTAATTTTTCTATTTTTTGTAGTGATGGGGTTATGCTATTGCCCAGACTTGTCCCAAACTCTTAACCTCAAGCAATCCTCCTGCCTCAGCCTCCTAAAGTGCTAGGATTTTAGGGATGAGCCACCTAGCCTGGCCCATTCCTACAACTTGTGAATGTGTAAAAGGGATTCATGTTATCTTTCACTCACATGATTATCCTATTACTTATACATGAATAAGGCACTTCCAGATTTCTTAACCCAATAGATCATTCTATGGTTGTGAAAGAATGTAAAAATTTTAAAGACTAGGTTGGGAAGTAATTAAAGCAAGATTCCAAAATTGAACATTGAAATTTGTTCCTTGGTCTCTGAAAACATAATTAATAAGTATAAAATAGGCCGGGCGCTGTGGCTCACGCCTGTAATCCTAGCTCTTGGGAGGCCGAGGCGGGCGGATTGCTCAAGGTCAGGAGTTCAAAACCAGCCTGAGCAAGAGCGAGACCCCGTCTCTACTATAAATAGAAAGAAATTAATTGGCCAACTGATATATATATAAAAAAAAAAATTAGCCGGGCATGGTGGTGGCGCATGCCTGTAGTCCCAGCTACCCGGGAGGCTGAGGCAGAAGGATCACTGGAGCCCAGGAGTTTGAGGTTGCTGTGAGCTAGGCTGACACCACGGCACTTACTCTAGCCTGGACAACAAAGCGAGACTCTGTCTCAAAAAAAAAATAAAAAATAAAAAATAAGTATAAAATAGATCTGGACTATTTTTAGGCAAAAAAAAATGGACAAATATAGTTGCGTGTCATTTAATATCAGGGGCATGTTCTGAGAAAGGCATACGTAGGCAATTTCATCATTGTGCCAACATCACAGAGTGTACTTATATAAATCTGGCTGGTATAGCCCACTACATACCTAGGCTGTATGTGTAGCCTATGGCTCCTAGCTACAAACCTGTACATCATGTTACTGTAATGCTGCATGCAGTCCCCACCCCCCTGGGCCACGGACCACTACCAATCTGTGGCTTATTAGGAACCGGGTCCCACAGCAGGAGGTGAGCGGCCAGTGAGCGAGCAAAGCTTCATGTGTGTTTACAGCTGCTCCCCAGTGCTCACATCACCGCCTGGGCTCCGCCTCCTTCAGATCAGTGGCCTCATTCGATCCTGCATTATGGCGAGTGGTGTAATTATTTCATCATATATTACAATATAATAATAAGAGGAAAAATAAAGTGCACAATAAATGTAACGCTCTCAAATCATCCCAAAACCATCCCCCATCCCTGGTCTGTGGAAAAACTGTCTTCCATGAAACCAGTCCCTGGTGCCAAAAAGGTTGGGGACTGTTGCTATGCTAAACGTGCAGGCAATGGTAATACAATGGCAAGTAATTTTGTATCTAAGCATAGAAAATGTAATGCATTGATGCCATAATGGCTATAGGAACGTTTTAGTTCCATTATATTATAATATTATGAGATTACCATCCTGTATGCAGCCATCGTTGACCAAAAAATGTCGTTACGCAGCACATGCTTCCCTAGCGATGGCCACATGCCCCAGTGATGGCCACTGACCTGTAAAGGGAAGTCTGCTTGCCCATTTCTGAAAAAGATTTTGCTTCCTAACAAAAAGAGGGGGACAAAAAATCCACCTCTCCCACTTTCTTTCTTTGGAGCTGAACCACAGCAACCTGAAGATTAAAAACATCCAGTACCTGAGGATGGTAGATCAGAAGAATAGAAAGCCCTTGGGACCTTCATCTATGAGCTTTGAGCTAACCCTTGGGACTGCCCACCTTTAGCCTGCTTATTCCATGAGATTATTTACACCTTTATGTCATGTGTTCGGTTCCTTGCAGTCAAGTGCATCCTGAACATACCACTACTTTTCCCCTGTATTTTCCATCTCCCCCACTGAGCTGAGCTCCATAGAGCAAGGGATTGGCCTATTTTTCTCATTGCCACATCCCCAGGTCTTCAAACATAGCCACAGTGTTAAAACATAGCCATAGGCACATAGTGAATTCGTGATAAACATTTGTTGAATGAATGAATGCCAAGTGATCTTCGTGGGTTCTCTACTTCTGTAGAATAAAGTCCAACAGGTCAACCTGGCATTTAAGGCCCTCCATGATCTGGCCCCAGCCCATCTTTCAAGCCTTATCTTTACCTTCACATGCCCTACAGCTTCAGGAAAGCCGGACTATTTCCTATCCTCCCAAACGCCCTGTCAGACTAGGTCATTCATAAGAAATAGAAATTCATTTCTCATGGTTCTGAAGGCTGGGAAGTCCAAGATCAAGGCACCAGCAGGTCTGGTTGTCTGGCGAGGGCTGCACCCTCCAGAGGGGAGGGATGCTGCCTCCTCACCTGGCAGAAGGCAGAAGAACGAGCCAGCCAGGCCTGTGTGAAGCCTCTTTCGTTAGGGCTCCATCCCATTCAAGACAGAGAAGCCCTTCGGGCCTAATCTCCTCTTAAAGGCCCCATCTCTTAATACCGTCACATTGGCAATACCTGAAGTGTGGAGGGGACACATCAAGCCATAGCACATGCCCCTGTTTTATTGATGTAGCACTTTGGCTTCATGGACTGGCATATACTCCTCCTCCACCACCTCTACACTTTTCTCTCATTCTTTTTTTTTTTTTTTGAGACAGAGTCTCACTCTGTTGCGCAGGCTAGAGTGAGTGTCGTGGCGTCAGCCTAGCTCACAGCAACCTCAAACTCCTGGGTTCAAGCGATCCTCCTGCCTCAGCCTCCCAAGTAGTTGTGACTACAGGCATGTGCCACCATGCCCGGCTAATTTTTTCTATATATATTAGTTGGCCAATTAATTTCTTCCTATTTATAGTAGAGACAGGGTCTCGCTCTTGCTCAGTTTGGTTTCGAACTCCTGACCTCAAGCGATCTACCCTCCTTGGCCTCCCAGAGTGCTAGGATTTCAGGCGTGAGCCACCACACCCGGCCATCTCTCATTCTTTAAGCTCCAGATCTTCTCTTTCGCTGATACCTTCCAGGTATAAATACCTTTTCTATTCTGGGTCCCCTTCTCTTTTGTGCCATATATCACTTTATGCATTTACAATAATTAACTTGGCGTGCTCATCTCTATTAGATTTTAAGCTCCTTGAGGCTAGGAAATTCACCCGAGAAACATATATAATATTATATAATGCTTTTACCCCAGTAGGTACCTAATACATTTTGGTTTGTGAGTGGACAATAAATAGTATTAAAGCAAGCCTATTTAAAATGTCCATTTTAAAAGTACTTTAGACCCAGCAATTGGTGCAGACTCTCATGGAAGCGATGGTCTTAATGCATTGCAGGAAGGGAAAGAAAGGAGGGAAGGAGACTTGTTGGAAGTGTGGGGAGCAAGCACAGATGCCTTTTCTCTTGCCGATGATAGCAAAGTTCTTAATGAAAGATGATCCCAATCAATACAGCCAGACAGCTGATTTATATAATGGCATCGAGCTGAAGGCGTGGGCTTTCTCTGCACAGTGCCGTGCAAAGGGGGAAAGGCTACCATGCTGGAATAACCAAGGGACGCCACAAGTAGATCTGTGCATGGCACTTGGTGGTCGTCAATATGTCCCCCCAGCTGCAAGCCACAGGGGAGCTCCAGAGAGCAGCCTGCCTGCGGCTGGATGCTGAAGGCTCACGGTAGGGCTAGCGCCGCCGCTGTGCTTTGGCTGCTGCTGCTGCCACTGGGCAGATAACGGCAGTGAGGGGTCTGACCGCCCTGAGTGCTCCCAGGAGCCTGGGTTGTGGCTGTGAATGAGAAGTTAAAGACAGTGAGGACTGGGAGGTAGGTGGGCAGGACTCACCAAGGAGCTGCAGACCCAAGCAAGAAATCCAGGGAGCAAAAGGAGAGGAAGAGTGAGCTTGGGCTAAGAGAATCAACGCCAAGTGGCACTGGAGGAAATGTCATCATTGGTAAAGGAGGACTTGGAGAAGAAACTGTTCAAGCCACTCTCGCAGAATCTGTACGAGTTTATTGAAATAGAGTTCTCGGTTCAAGACAGGTATTACCTCTGTGTGTCAGGTAATCTGTTCTTTCTGTTGCTTTGTTTCAGAAAGCAAATCGCCCAAAGATGCTTGGGTGATAGAGGGAGACTTTTTTAAAATTTTATTTTCCTATACAGCACCTGTGTCTTCTTGTGATAGAGCTTAACTATGTCAAGTGTAAGAATTTGGATTCTACGGATTTTTTTTTTTAAAGTGTTAAAGATGAAAAAAAGAACAAAATATTGTACTGAGAATATTTTGGTTAGTTGTTCAGAAATGAAACTGGATATGTACATCTCCTGATTTGATTATTATGTCTCCAGTCTTTTATTTAATTCACTTGCATGGCATGCAATTTTATTGTGTAAGAACTCATTTTTAAAAATGCAACAGAGAGCTCTCTGTGTATTTTTAAATTTGTGGGAGAATTGAGTTATACAGCTCTATTTGCAATCAGTCTGGGCAACTGGGGTTCTCCCTTTTCATTCCCAGAGAGAAACAAAACCTTAGATTTCCTTCTGAGGGCTGGTGGTTTATTTTGACTGACTGACTGGTGGTTTATTTATCTGACTTCCTGGTGGTTTATTTTGAAAACAGAAATTATCTTTTAAAATTTCTTTCTCTTATAAGCAGTATGCTCACAGAAACAATACTGTAATGATAGAAATTTTGTTTATGAAAATGGAACTTTAAGGATAAGAGGATGTTCTCTAAACTAACTAAAATAGAGGTTTTTCCTTTATGCTTCTACAATTCATGAAAATTGTCCAAAGCTACAAATAGGCTTTTGCACCTAATTAAGATTTGCCTAACCTGTGATTTTTGTGCTGAATTTAGACTGAAATGCTCATGCCATTATTGAATTTAGTATACAGCACTCCCTTTTCCCAATCCATGCCTTTTAATACTTTTCATGGGCTTAGGAGGAAAGTGCTTGGAAATTTTTAAGTGTCCATTCTGAACTTGTCTGCTTAAGGCCCACACCTATTTTCGGAAAACAACTTGTTATAATTCCCTTTCTGATAATTGCCCTAGAAGGACTTTCTAAAGGTGTCAAGAGAGAGTACTGTAAGGGAAGTAGAACATCTTTAAAGAGAGTGCTAAGAATTCTTTAAAACTGTATTATTTCTAATAAATATGGTAATATTTACCCAATAATAAGAATAATATTTATCTAATAGTTTAGCATATTTTGCTATATAACTACAAAGCGTGGAGACATGGTATATCAGCAATGTAAAAAACTTAATGGGCCCAGGGAAAGAATTAAATTATGGAAAAAAAGTCAATTAACAGTTTAAGAAATTATTTTGTACCTTAACCATCAAATCACTGTATCTTAAAGTATTTTTACTTAATATATTAGAAGAAGATGCTTATTCCAACATTAGAATTTAATAATTTTGTACTTATTGTAATCCTCACTTTATAAAGCTAATTTCTGTTGTGTAACATTAGTATACAAGTATTTTGAAAGAAAAACTTATTTTTAAAAATCACAAAAGTTGAAGTATCCCAAGAATGGAAAAACAAGCACCAGATATATTCTCCAGCAAACTGGTATTAACTGAGTCGCACCTAAGTGGACCACTAGGTACTACAGTATAGGGTATTGGGCAGGTGGGAGGGGGGGGGCGGGTATATACATACATAAGGAGTGAGATGTGCACCATCTGGGGGATGGTCATGCTGGAAACTCAGACTTGTGTGTGGGGGGGAGGGCATTTATTGAAACCTTAAAATCTGTTCCCCCATAATATGCCGAAATTAAAAAAAAAAAAATCACAAAAGTTTATAAACCTAATTTACCAATATATCTTAGTGCCTCCCTCAAAATTATGTAATTAACTAAATTTGTTCTACCTGACATGGAAAGAAAAAGTCTCCTAGACTTAAATGTTTGGAAATAATTCGTTGATTCTGTCATGGAAGAAGCAAGGAAAAAACAAGGTCTTCTCAGAGTTGAGGAAGAGAAGACAGTATTGTGATATTCCAGATACAAGTTAACATTTTAAGCCGTATTAGTTCAGTAACTTTTCACAATTCTCTTCTATATCATAGCCATGAGTTCGAGAGCACTTTCCCCAAATGTAACATGTTTTTTATGACAGTTGCAAATACATTTTGACAGAATAGTGACTTAAGATAAGTCAGTGTGATGCTTAACACTCCTAAATCTTTGACCACACTTTATTCAGAAATTTTTCATTTATATGAATCAAACAGGTCACAGCATTTTCAGGGCAAGTAACTCCATACTTTGAGTATTGGCTGCCTTCAGGGAGTGGAGCCACATAGTTTTGATTTCCTCTTTATACCCTACATCCAGGAGTTCTGGATTTGTGAGACTCATGAGTCCAGTGTAGCCAGATGTATTTTTCAAATTCATGAAATTATGTTTAAATATGGTTAAACTTTATTTATCTGACCAGACTCTGTCTTTTACAGGCATCTCACAACCAGAGGATTGTGATTTACTGTTAAATCTTAATGTTTACCTGTGTCGATGTCAAAATCAGATGTCGAAAACTCAATTTCTCTCTCTGTAGTTTGCTAGGAGGTACATTGCAGATTCCCTGGGAACTCAGTCTCCTTCCTCCCCTCAGGGTTTGCTTGGTCATTTCTCCCTGGGATTAGCTTCCCCTAGCCTAGAACATCATTATCACTGGCAGTTAAAAGCAGCCTCTTCTCGGCCGGGCGCTGTGGCTCACGCCTGTAATCCTAGCTCTTGGGAGGCCGAGGCGGGCGGATTGCTCAAGGTCAGGAGTTCAAAACCAGCCTGAGCAAGAGCGAGACCCCGTCTCTACTATAAATAGAAAGAAATTAATTGGCCAACTGATATATATATATAAAAAAAAATTAGCCGGGCATGGTGGCGCATGCCTGTAGTCCCAGCTACTCGGGAGGCTGAGGCAGAAGGATCACTCGAGCCCAGGAGTTTGAGGTTGCTGTGAGCTAGGCTGACGCCACGGCACTCACTCTAGCCTGGGCAACAAAGCGAGACTCTGTCTCAAAAAAAAAAAAAAAAAAAAAAAAGCAGCCTCTTCTTATAAAGGAGGGAGGAGTTCTGTTATGTGCAAGCACTAGAAAGGGGTAAGTCATGCGTACAATGAAGAGTGTGCAAATGACTTGAAGAAATTCTGAAAGTCTTGAAATGGCATAGTCAAGCATTAGCCAGAATTGAATGAAAAGTAACAGGGCATGGTGAAACAGACCTTGGAATGCTTGGAATCAGACAGATCTGGAGTAAAACCTGGCCCACCTACTGGCTGAGAAATTTGGAGAAAGATAATTAGCTTCCTCAGGCCTCAGTGTTGTCATTTCTGAAACAGAAATAAAAACACCTATGTCTGCATCCAGTGCTCCCTTGTTAAATCTTTATCCGACAGGATAAATTATGTTCCAAATAAATAAAATATAAAAGTTATGCTTTTGAAACATATAGGAAAAATATATTTATTATAAAAATATATGCTGGAATATATGTGTACATGCATATATACTGTAAATATATATTTATAGTAAAAATATAAGTATATCTTTAATATATAAAGACATGATATATTGTATATTATATAAATTAAAAGTCATATGTATATTTAGATATATTTTTAAGTATTCTCATATCTTTCAAAAAACATTTTCCATTCATAGATACTTATCTAAAAATAAATGACATTTGCTAGAATTGTAAAAATATTAATAGTATGCGTAAGTTCTCTACATGTATTACTTTTTGATGCCGGAACAGAATTACTCTGTAAACCAAAGAATCTAATAATTTTGTCAAATCACTTTACAATAAGAATGTTAACAATGAGAATATTAAATAAGAATCAGTTAACAAGAAAGAGAGATTGCTAAAAGCAATTTAAAAGGCTTCATTTGAAACCACTGCTTTTAAATTGTGAATTCCCAGTATCTTAATGACAGCATAAACTAGAATTTTTTTTTAAGCTTTCATTTCAGTGGATAATAGTATTGTCTGGGGAGAGATTAGTTTAATTTTTTCAGCTCTAAATTGAGGACAAATTATTCTAGTACATAGTGTTTTGTAAGAATAAAAAGTGGGGTAATGCTTTGAAAAGTTTTTATACAATAAAAACCGTTGTTAATAATATTAAATAGTAGGCTGGGTGTGGTGGCTCATGCCTATAATCCTAGCTGGAGGCTGAGGCGGGAGGATCGCTCAAGGTCAGGAGTTCAAGACCAGCCTGAGCAAGAGCGAGACCCCGTCTCTACTAAAAATAGAAAGAAATTAATTGGACAACTAAAAATATATAGAAAAAATTAGCCGGGCATGGTGGCACATACCTGTAGTCCCAGCTACTTGGAAGACCGAGGCAGAAGGATTGCTTGAGCCCAAGAGTTTAAGGTTGTTATGAGCTAGGCTGACGCCATGGCACTCTAGCCAGGGCAACAGCGAGACTCTGTCTCAAAAAATAATAATAATATTAAATAGTAGAATAACAACTGCATAGGCCAAAATATATCCAAACAGGTATACATATGTTCTGAAAATAGAGCTAAGCATAGTTTATTAATATATACATATTCTTTATTTTTCAAGTTGCAGATTTACTCAAAGCTGTTCTGATGTATAATCATTTAACATCTTCCCTTTCATGAGCCATAATATTTCCTTTAATAAATATTAATACACTTGGTTCTGCAACTATAGGAATCTTGTGCTCGAAAAGAACACACAAGAAAATTCTAATTCGACTGCATTTATTATTCTCCATTTTTAAAAATTATGAAAACAAAGTACAGGATTGATTTAGGAATTGATTTCTAAAATTGATTTTGTTGTAACTATCATAAAATTTACCACAAAACTTAGTTACAATCAGGATTGTGAGTTGGGGAACAAAGCTTGAATACCAAAGTATATTTTATACTTTAAAATTCATGCTCTTTATCTTCTAAATGCAGAAAAAACACACTTCATTGTTTTTGCTTAATTCTTTGTCTCTCTCTCTCTGTCTCTCTCTCTGTCTCTCTCTCTCACACACACACACACACACACACACACAC